GAGTTGGAGACAGAACAGATAGTCTCGTGCAGACGACGACAAGCCAGGCCGGTATATCTAATCTCTCGCCTTCCCTCTCCCCTCTCCCCGTGGTGCCGCCGCCGGCTCGGAGTTACTGTCTGGCAGGACCCCGCCCGGGGCCATATCGCCTCGGCGCATCATCCCTTGCGCCCCCCGTGTCAACTTCTGATGACCAAGGGGCACAGCGGGGGCCCGACGCAACTGCCGGAGTCCCCTGCGCGACTCCCGTCCCCGCCTTCTCAGCATTTTCCCGGGCCCCGCACCGCGGCCGTGATCCGCGCCGCCGCACCGCCCGCCCGCCCCCGCAGGGCCATGCGGAGGGCCGCCGGGATGGAGGACTTCTCCGCAGAGGAAGAGGAGCCCTGGTACGACCAGCAGGACCTGGAGCAGGGTGAGCACGGAGGAGGGGGCAGGAGAGCGAGGTGCGCCCCGCGACCTCTGTCCGCTTCTCCATTGTTGGGCGGTGTCACCCCCGGGAGGGCTGAGCTGCACCCCGCGGCCCAGACTCGGATGGGTGATGCGTGCGGAGAACGGGGACGTGGAGAGAAGGGGCGCGCTGCCCTGGAAGCCCGGCCCGGGCCCGCGAAGACCTGCAAAAGTCGGGGGAACAGTCTTCCTCTTCCCCGAAGGACGGGGGCATACCTCACCCAGCTCGCCCACCCCAACTTAGAGGCAGGCACTGCCCAGGGCCCCTGGTATGGCCGGGGCCTGAGTACTGGCTGGAATTCTTGGAGGCCGGGAGGTGGCTCCTTGGTTGTTTTGCAGGGAGGGGTGGATTGTGTGGGGGGAGGGGGAGAATGATCTTATCCCAAATCCAGAGACACCCTTCTTCCCTGCCAGAATTCCTGAGCTCTAAGACTCCCAGAAAGTTTCCCCAACTCCCTTCCCCTCAACCCAGGGAGGGGATAGGGGTGCGGGCACCCAGCCAGGGGAGAGGTGAAGATTTGGAGTCCCCTGGTCCTCCCCCCAAAAAACCCACCCCTTCCCGAACTGCTCATGGTTTGGGGGTCAGGTTTGGCAATTCTGAGCAAGAGCCCAGATTAGAGGGAGCCACCTCCCCCCTCCATCTGAGAGCTGCGAGGGCGACTGGAAGTGGGTTAGAAGCTGGTGATGAGGTGGCCGAAGTGACATCACTAAGAGTAGGGGACGGGCTGTTAGGACCGGAAGGAGGAGTAGGCCGAAGGGTCAGAGCCAAGGCCTGCTAGACTGGAGTCAAATCCACCCTCTCCCCCCGCCCAAGAGCACCTCATTCTTGGAGATCAGGGCTGGAGGGGTGTCCAGGAGAAGTGACCACAACCCCCCAGTGGGCAGGTGTGGACACAAGTCTGATTGAATGTGTGCTGACACCCCGGCTCTGGGGCTCCACCCACGGCCCCCAAGGCCTGGCTTTGCCCTCAGGGAGACATCTACCCAGATCCTGGAGCCTTTGTTACTGGCCCTGACCCACATCCTCACGTGGCCAGATTTGCTGGTAGATGAGGCTCAGTCCTTGTGCTCAGGAATGTGGGGTAATCAGAGCCCCTGAGGCCTAGTGTGGGACTGCGCGTGCTGGGCTGCACCCCGCCGTACTCTATGCCCCAGAGTCTCCCCTCAGCTTCCCTGCCTGGAGTGAGGTGCCCAATACTGGCTGTGACAACCCCTTCCCAGCCCTGGCCACTACTTTTGCATCCCACAGACACCTATCAGGCTCCACTTATGGGTCAGACACTACCCTGGGCACTGGAATAGCCCCAGCCCTGGCCCACTAAGTGGACCAGGTGGAGGTGGGCTTGTCATTGAGTGTAGGTGACAGGATGCACTGAGAGGGCTTCATGGAAGAGGCGGCCCAGAAGGAAAGGTTGGAAGATGGCCTCCCCTCCCGGGAGGCAGATGCTGATATTACTGCTGTCTCATTTCTTTCCTGCTCCCTTACGGAAGTCTCTGGCACCATGCCCGGCCCAGATGTGGGGGGAAGGAGCCAGGGGGTAAGGGTGGGAGATGCGTTGCTCCCAGAGAGGGAGAGGTGCCCAGATTCCCACTGGGCTGGGTGCCTGCTCTGGGCCAGGGTGGGGGGTGGTCCCAGCTGGCCCCCTGCTCTGGCCTTGCTGGCCTGCAGCACTCAGGCCCCCTCCTAGCCTCAGTAGTGCCCAGAGCCCTGGAACCAGGAGGGAAACCAGAAATGGGGCAGTCTCAGAAGACATCGGAGCTTTTGACCAAACACCAATGAGTGCTGAGCCTGGGGGGACTCCACATTCCAGCAGAGGAGGCAGAAAGGAGATCAAACTAGCAACCTCGGTAGCCGCCTCGCTGCAGGGGTGCTGTGGCAGGCAGACGCCCCAAGGCCCCTCTGAGCTGAGGGTGCAAGGTGCTCCCTGGGCCGAGGGAGGAGGGCAGGCATTCTAGGTGGAGGGGACGCCTGCACAAGGCATGGAGCAACGTGGAAAGATCATGCGTGACTGGAAGTGGGGCTTAGAGTGCTGGGGTGGGGTTGGAGGAAGTCCCAGGTGCAAGTACTGGGCACTACCCCCGTGGGGCCAGCATGGAGGGCTGGAGGGTGGCATGAGTGTTTGCCAAAAGCCGGCCCCCACTGGGGATCAGATGCCTGTCGTGCCCCCCTTCTCTACACCCAATCCCCCAGTTCTCTGCCAGCTGCTCCCTAGGTGCCCCTTAGTGTCCAGGAAGTAGTTTGCCCAGCCAGCCTGGTTCCGGAGCAGCACCACCTTAGGGCAGGCCCCAGCCTCACTTCCCAGAGCTTGGCCACCAAGATCCTGTCTGACTTCGATGCTGTTGTTCCCAATAGCAAGGTCCTCGGCTCTCCCTGCCCCCTGGCCACGGCCAGCACGTGTAAAAATAGAAAACGCCATGAATTAGTAAGCACTGGCACTCTTCCTCCCCATCGCAGACCTGTGGGGGCCTCTTTCCACTGAGACGGGGCTGCTGAGTCACAGATTTGAAGTCCTGGCGCCTGACCTTGAGCCTCAGCCTCCGGCGAGAGCTCTGGTGTGACACTGAGATCGGGTGCCTGGACCCCAATTCTGTGGACACAGAGTTCCTGACATTCAGGCCCTGTAGCCTGTAAGCAGGACACCTGCAGCCCTGCCAGGTGGTAGATGGCCCCCCCCACCCCCCCTTTATCTTGGTCTCTCCTTCCCTGTGCCTGTCCCCTGTCCCTTTCCTGCTTCCCTGCTCCGGAGTCTGTGGGGCCCCACCAGACCCCCATCAGTGAGCGCAGCGGGATTTCAGCATTTCTTTTCAGACACCCCCGTCTCATGGCCATGACCTCTCAGGCTTCTGGGGCGTTGCTCCTGGGCAGCACCTCAGCTGATTTGGGGGAAACCGCTGAAGCCGCTGCAGGAGACCCAGAAACCCGGGGTCCAGGCCGGGGAAGTGCCAGGAGGCTCTGTGCCTTCCCTGGCTTGGTCCAGTGGTCTGGTTGTGGCTGGCTGCTCATTCCTCTGGCTTAGCCAGCTCCCCCTTTCTCCCATTCCCAGGCCTCCCTCCCTGGAGCCCTCCGTTCCCTGGCACTGGCTCCACTCAGTCCCTGGCCCTGCACCTTCTAGACCAGTGGTTCTCAACTTTCCTAATGCCGCGACCCTGTAATACAGTTCCTCATGTTGTGGTGACCCCCAACCGTAAAATTATATTTGTTGCTACTTCATAACTGTAATGTTGCTACTGTTATGAATCGTAATGTAAATATCTGATATGCTATATGTGTTTTCCGATGGTCGCAACCCACAGGTTGAGAACCGCTGTTCTAGACCTTTCTCAAGATTCCTCCTGGCAGCTGGGACCAGCTGAGCTTGCATTATGATTCCGTTTCCCTGTGGCAGTCCCTGAGGTCTCCCCACCCCCAAGAGCTGCTATTGTTCCCTCTTCGCCATTCCTGAGTCACTAGGGGCCCAGGTCACAGTCACTGCCTTCAGGGGCCAGTCCCTGGTCTGTAGTATAACTTCAGATGCTCACCTGGGAGGACCAGCAGAGAGGACCAAGTTCATGACCATTCCTCACCCCCTCTGAGCCCTGGGACTCTGCAGGGGTCTACGCAGGCCACCCACAGAGCCTGTCCCCTCACACCAGGCGACATCAGTAGCAATGGCCTCTTTACAGACTACCTGACAGTTCCCGAGGGAGGACAGGCTGCTGAGTGTGGCCCTGGGGGTGGTCTTGTTGGGCTCCCGACTTCCCACTGAGCACTCGGCAGAGCAGGGCTGCAGTTTCATCTAGCCTCTCGCTTTGTAGACTTGCCCAACTTACAGCTGATACATTCCTACCACAAGTGTCCTCACTGCCCCACTGGGTTCCTGTCAGGCAGCTAGTGTTTCCTGGCATCATCGTCAGGAGGTTAATGAATGGCTCAAGGCTAATGGTGCTGCGCTGAGATTTGTCTGA